ATGGTGGATGACATCAATACATCGCAACAGAACACTGCGTTTACTGCCAGCGGACTGTCGTGACGGGAATGTGGAGGAACGGGTCTCGCGCAAACACAAAACTACACGAGAGCCCTTTGATTCGGGTCCGAAATACCGACACGAAGTGGAGACCACACGATCATAGGCGAGACTTAACGAATATGGTCACTACACTCTCGAATTTGGCTGTTCTCGTGAAGTTTTGGCAAGAATGTGGAGCGGGCTTTAGTCCGATTCAAATCCGAAAAAATACGAATATCGCTTGTACACCTAGAGATAAAATGCTCCATCCAACAACAAAAATGTTAGATAAAGATACATTTTTGTTGACATCGCCCAAAATAAGACAACGTTATGTGACCTTATGCCTTTATGACGATTTGGTCGTCAAGATCTCTGATATCAAGTTTGGGAACCAGTGCACCGCAGTATACAATGCGGCGTTGCTATAAATATTAATGCAGCGTCTGAAAGACACCAGCGTGTGAACTGAAAATTAAAATATCCGTAACGTGCGCGTGCGCCGACTTGATGAGTGTAACTGTCTAGCATTTTACGTGTGAGATAGTTTGAACGCTTCTAGAATAATTTTACACTAATCACTTTGAAATAAAAATTGTTACAATGTCGATGGCGGTCGATGATATTTTATGGCTATCTTAGTGAATCTTCTTTAATAATCAATCATTATTTATAAACGAATTTCAATAATTTGAACATTATCGTTGTTACTTGTAAAGCAATAGAGAATGAAACAGGAGACAATATTTTCAGATCTGTCAAATTGCATGAAAATATTGATACTACTCGTCTCTACTCTCTTCGACTGTTCATATCTATGTCGTACTATCTTCAACTGTATTGCAATGGTATAAGCACCACGTAATCGTTTCTAATATTCATTATTAGAGTCTTCCGGATATCAAATGTAACGCTGTCACGCACTCTGTTATTGTTCTTAAAGTAAGTAAAATAAAATTATATGTGATACGTAAAGACTAAATTTTGTCTTTGCTCCGTTGCGTACAATTTTAAATCAATTTAGGCTTATTACTTGAGTCTTTTGGAAGACAATTTAAACAACAATATTATGGAGTCATTCGCAAGCCTAAACTGATGTCATTATAGGAATGTCTGTACCGGTCATAGTATGACTACTGCATTCACGAAAGTCGTTGGGTGTGCGCGAAATTCCCACATGCTATTTATAAAATAAGGTCAATAAAATTTTATCAACCATTAACTACTCACGTATTTAACGGAACAGTAATATCCTTAAAATAATGCAGTGTTTTTTTAAAAAGTCGAGCCGGTTGTTTTCTTTTTTACTTTAGGTCTAATTCGAAAATAAAAATAAAATGGTCGACTGTCTTTGTTTTGATTCATTTGTTTTTTTTTTATAATACCAAGTGACGGGACGAACAAGTAGTGTGCCTGATGCTAAGCTACACGCCTGTCCATAAAAGTTCCACTCAGAGCTTTAAATCACAAAGCTCTGAGGGGCACTACCACTGCGCCCGTCACTCTGAGACATGTTGACAAGTCTCAAGCCTTCAAAATCGGAACACAGTAACGTGGCAGTACTTCCTTGGATGAAGTCTTTTACAAGAAGCTCTACTGCTAGTCGTAATCTTTCGTTGAAAAAATGTTTTTTTTTATTTATTAAACTTTATTTACTTTACTGATTTAGACAATGTTAAATCGTTACAATTTTGAAATTTTCAGCCGTTTCTGCGTCGTTACAAAATGTAAAAAAAAACATTTTATTTAATTTCTATTTTTTCAATTAAGGCTGTACTAAGTCGATGTTAATATAATTGCTAATTTACGTCAAATTCTTATTTATTGAAACAGAAACTTTAGTATTTTATATTCTCTATTTATATATTTTTGTTCCTTTAAATGTGCTGCTTTGTGTACTTGAACGTTTAACCATTAACTGCTGATTGGTGATTAATTAATTGCTGATTCCCTAGCCGAGACAGGCTAGCTTCTTTAGTTTCTTTGTTGCTTCTTTGTTAGTTTTTTTATCTCCATTCGCGAATGTCGCAAATCCGCATACATTTCTTACCATCTACATATTTAACACTTTTGCGGATAATGTGTAAATCTTTACATGTTCTTGCTTTTTCGGCGGCCTGATGTAACAGCAATTCTAATCGTCACTTTTAAATTCTACGTATTATCAAAAATTAGCACATCATTTTCTTGGCATATTGTAGAGCTGCATAATAAAAAAACAGAAACGTTCGCACATAGCTTACAACTTTATTATTCTGTGAGGCTTGTAGCCGTGCCATTTACTTGAATGAATTATAACGAAGCAAGAACAAATTGTTTTGATTAAAAATAAAGAGGTTTAATTAATAGTCTCATAAGAAAGCAATTTCATTGGGAGTAATTGCCTAGTTGACATTTTTTATCGATATCATCATGAAACGAAACAACAAAAAAAAAGGTATAAAGGTAATCTCGGGCCATAGTTGAAGATGTTATTATTATTGTTTGATGTTTTTTTATCTGATATCAAGCGATACGCCTGTCTATAACAGTTGCTGTGCCGTTTAGAATTCTAAATCGCAAAGATCTGAGAGGCCCATCACGCTGAGACATAAGTTGAAAAGTCTCATGTGACAGTAATTTCAGCAGCACGCTTATCCTTGAAAACCGCAACGCAGTTATGCTCACATTACTGTTTGGCGGCAGAAATAGATAAGGTGACAGTACCTACTTGCCTGGACGAACTCTTTCACAAGGAGCTCTACTGCTACTTAAGATGTGTTCGTGACAAAAGTTATCATCGATATAATGTACTTACCATAACCGGTATTTCTTTTTGTTTCACATTGATAATAAAATCTTTAGATCATGAACGATTTTTTAAGTTGATTGTTCGATACAATACGGTGCGGTGAAGCAATGACAGAGCAAAAAGTTTTATGTACTTATTAAATTAAATACTTTTTAGAAATGCTGAAGAGAAGAAATTAAAATAAAGTGAAGTTTCTTGTAGTATCCTCCGTAACTTTAAAATAAAATGTCAATTGATATTTAAAAAAAGCAAATAACTATAAATTAAATTTAGTATATAAAGTGTCTTTGTTATTTTAATATTTATATTTTCATGTATGTACAGGGTGAAGAGCACGTCAAGCTTGACACTTAAGATTTAATTCCAACTCTATGCCGCTTACGATAAGAACGGTCCAAAGTACAAAGTGTCAAGCTTGACGTGCTCTTGACTGTACAACAGATTTTGGACTCTAATTTAAGGCAGAAGTAATATAAGATGACTCTAATAATATAAGGGGCGAATACCTTTAGGGAAAATGCCTGTATTTTATACACCTGTCCAGTAGCATTAGAGATTCTTGTGAAAGAGTTTAGTAGCGGGAGTTCTGTTCTTGCGTTGCTGTTTTGAAGGGTAAAGGTGCTGTTGGTGATGGGCGCAGTGACAGTGTCCCTCAGATCTTTAATTTGATCTGTAACTGCCAAAGACAGGCGTGTCGGTTATCATCAGGCGTAACTTGGTATGATTTAAAAAAAAACTTATACAGTACAGTTATTTCAAAAACCCTGCTGATAGGATTCGGTTTCATCCCTATGACCAGATAAAAACATATTATATATTTTATTCTTTTGCTTCGTTTCCTGAAAGACTCTACTTGCAAATGATAGTGTAGTAACCATAAATACTTCAGTTCTTTTTATCGACATTAAAATATAAACGTAGGCGTTTCTTTACCACCTTCAAACCTGATATGTTCATCTGAAATGTCAGATGTCTGACCGGATTAAGAAAAAATAACTACCTATCTTGCGATATTCATTTCACATAATATAATCGTATGTTTCCAATTAATGCAAAATTGATTCTCGACACCGCCATCGAATGCACTCCATGTGTTTTAATAAGGATAGAGATGAACAATGATGTTTGAAGTTTATGGACTTGATAAATCTCTTACAAAATATTTACGTATACAAAAGAATCCTAAATCCCAAAGCGTAGTCCAAAACGATCGTCGCTATAAATGTAGGCTACTTTTGTAACATAAGCTATAGATAATAACTATCGGTAGTTTTTGAATAGTTTAAATCAGTGTTGGGCAAAGTACGGCCCGAGAAGAACTTTAATACGACCCGCCAATAAGAACTTTGTGACTAAAATGGGGGAGTATGGCCCTTGGAAATATATTTTGACGGCCTCGTAGATACAAAATAACCTACACATGTTAACATACACACAAAATAACAATTACACAGTAATAAATAATTAATAATATTTTAAAATAAAACCTATTTGTTTCAGTTTTGGCCTCCTGTGAATTTTCTATGTTTTTGTGGCCCCTAATGAACCAAATTTGCCCATCCGTGGTTTAGTTGCATGGATCAATGTTTAGGTATTTGTCACCTAGAAACGTCTAAACGAATTTGCATGAAATTTGGCAGATATATAGTACATAATCTAATCGACTACATGGGATATTTTCAAAACCCGAAATGTGAACGATTTCGAGGATAAAATCTAGTTTAATCAAAAATCCTTAACTTTGTGTTGACAATAGGATAGACATCTAAAGACTTTTTCTGGTTTCAATATTACAAAAAATATTTATAACAATAAACCTATTCTTATTATTTTGCTTACTTTCAGAATATTCAAAGCCTAATAGTGGTAGTAGGGTTAAATAAATAACGAGCTCGACCAGTAATGGTATCCTCGCTTGAATAAGCTATTATGGTAAACTATAAAGTATTTTAAAACTGCAATTTAAAAATCAATAATAAGATATTGTTATAAATGAGATAATTTTACTTTATAATGCTTGCAAATTAAACTGATGAGCTATATCTATACAAATTAATTGCTTTGAAAGGCATGATTTTGTTTTTTGTTCCTGACTACAAGTAACATTTCAATCTATATCTTTTTGTTTCTTGATTACCATTAATTTTATTTTGTTTCTTCATTGCAGGATCTGGAGTTACCAGAGACATTATTTGTTGGATTTGCTTAAGGTAAGTTTTTATTAATTAAATAATAAAGTTGTCTTCAGACTGTTGTCAACGTAAAAGTCTTACCTTCAATTAGTAACTGAGTTATATCTAAGGTTAACAAGTACCGTAGTAAGTTAGGTATTTAGTAATGTCCTAACCTAGGTTACAAGTCGCTTTTCTTAAAAAAATTATCGAAACCTGTTTATCAGGTTTTGCTTAAATGACACTTGACCCTCATTATGTTTATAATTAATTATAAATACAAAGGTTGGACGCAAAGAAAAATTCCATTGATCTGAATGTGGCTCATGGGTAAAGCGATCAAAGGAATTTTTCTTTGTGTTCGATTTTTGTGTTAATAAATATAACAAACTAGTTACTGGAGCAATTTCACAAAAAATAAACGAATGACATTCAATAAAAATCAACGTCATATTTTTTTTCCTGAAATTTTGAAACCAAATGTGCATAGTTTGATAAAAGTCTAAAACAGAGAAGAGGTACTTGAAGTAGTTTATCGTTGTTCTGACTGAATGGCGTGTAAAAACGAAAATAACAAAATCCGAAAATCGAAAGTAGAAAATGAGCTAATAAAATGAGATAATTCCATGCATCTTATTTTTAGCAATATGTCAAAATAAAAGAAAGATACCGTTTCTACGTCGTCTTGTTTTAATATGGGTACCAAAATTAAGCGAACATTTAATGATAAAAACTCTCAATTTCAATCATAGTTTGCACATTAAGCATCCGATCTTAGACCGAAAAAATGTGACTTAAAAAAAGTATTTCTTTATTAGGTTACTTAACTGACTTAGGTAACTTGTGTCCATCTGAGCCTGTCTAACAAAGTACCTTTAGCAACATTTTGTTATATAAGTAGTGTTTGATTCACTCAAAAAGTTCTTACTTAGGTTTTCGCGGTAGTTACATATTGGAAATAAACCTATTTTGTCGGATCGAAATCGCGTGATTTTTTTAAACAAATCAAATTTCGGGCTATTGCCAGCCAGCCCTGACCATGAGACCTGTAAAGGTTCCGAAACGTTGTTTGTTTGAAAAAATAATATATGCGATTCAGAACTAATTTGATCACTTGATAAGCGTTCGTTTCTTGGTACTGCTGACTTCAAAGATGATTTACGGTCCGTTAATTTGTTAAGTTTTGTGTTCTAATTTGATAAACTTTTTTGTAAATAAAAACTAATAGACGATAGTGCAGATACTAGTTTAATATTGCTTACAATTTGAAACATTTTTACACAGCGTTAAGTTCAATGGTTTCTTCACCATCACTACTTTATCATCATTATAGTTGACCATGAGGTCGATATATTTATGTCGTAACCAAAATTGTAATCTGAAGTCTAAATTGTAGTTGCTTCACGTGGATCCATTGATTATCTATAGACTCTGTTACGTATCTCACATTTACCTTAGTTTACGACCTGTGCTAACTTAGTTAAATAATTTGTAGGAATAAAACAACAGGACGCGACTAGCGATACTGCTATTCTCGCATATAGATCTCGCGCTTTATGTCGTTCTCGCGCAGGTCACACCTTGTCGTGCTAGCTCTACAGGTACACCACAGTGAGACCGCAGCCCCTGTCAGGGAGTTTCTGGCTGAAAATTAGTGCTATGCAATTACATTATTTTGTCTGCTTTACTCATTACCTATATGTAAGACTTTTGTATTTGTTGTATGGCAAATAAATGGAATGGTTACCTATCAATAAAGTTTGCTCGAATTTTCATAACCTCGAAAGTAAATTTTGAGAGGAAAATGTTTTTTTTCTTTTAAACCTAACTTAATCTAACCTAACCGAACCTAATCGCGTCTTTGCGATAAACATCCAATGTATCCTGAAAGTACAACGGTTTCGTTATAATTCGGTTTTCGGTGTAACCAAAATTCAAACAAACGTTATTTCGGAAAAAAATATCTAGTTTGTGAAAGGTTACCGGTTAGTGGAATATGGAATTTGGAAATACGAATTGTAGTTTATATGTTATTTCACTCTAGCAAACTTTAAAGATGTTAGTAGCAGTAGAGCTCCTTGTGAAAGAGTTTCGTTCTGGGACGTACTGCCACCTTACCTATTTCTGCCGCCAAGCAGTAATGTATGAGCATTACTGCATTCCAGTTTTGAAGGATAATGGTGTTGATGAAATTACAGGCACGTGGGACTTGTCAACTTATGTCACAGAGTGACAGGCGCAGTGACAGTGCTCCTCAGATCTTTGCGATTTAAAGCTCTGAGTGACACTGCAACTTTCGTGGACAGGCGTGTAGATTACCACCAGGTGCACTACTTGTTCGTCCAGTCAAATGATATTATAAAAAAAAAAATAACATGTGGCCAAGTATTTTATAGATGACACTATCATATCGTTATTAAGAATTCATGGAACTTACATGTGCACAATTATTTATGTCCCCCTAAGAGATTTGAAGTATTTTAACGATATTATTAAAAAATACCAAGTGCGCAATTTTATTTCCCTTTGAACATTTATGAAAACTAGGTAGGTGGTCAAAAAAAGTTTACGGACGAATATTTTTGTTTGTTCCATATATAGCGCATTTTAATTACTAGATAATTACATATACTGATAATTAATAACAATTAACATTTTAAGACCGTATGGTGTACTTGATAAAATAAAAAAATATGAGTTAGTTGTTGTGTGAGGAAGATGACCATTATTTTGATTAAAAGATTTCAAGTCTTACCATTTTGAAATCCAATTAGCTATTCAACTGCATCTCAGGTATGCTTATTGGCACAAGCTTTGTTTGTTACGTTTTTATTTCAATAGGGTTGTCGTCTTATTGTTTTTTTTATATAATTAATAAGTAATACAATTTACAGTCATATAACATTGCCTTAGAGTAAACGTGACCATATTTTTGTTCTTCAGTGGAAAAAAATAACAATAATGTTACACCTACGCCTGTAAATGTTGTATAATTGTTTTAAAAAAAATTTAATTTTAAAATGTTAAAAAAACTTAAAATGTTTAATCATCAGAAACTTAAAAAAAAGAACTAATTTTGTGTAGTCCGGTGGGCTGGTTTTATATATTTTTCGGTTTCGCATTAACATAATGTCACAATGAAAACATTGCAGGTCATTTTTAAGTATTTTGAGGACTACGGGACACAATGCTTAAAAGCAGGATTGTCCCTCTCAAAGCGGGATGCATGGTCACGTTACCTTAGAGTGAAAAACTCAGTCACGCACATAGTTTGTTTTTATTGATTTTAATTGAAGCAAAACTTACAAACCGTTTGCTTATTATATACATTATTAAAGTAATGTACCATCCGAAAAAAGTATAATTAAACTAATTAAAATGCTAATTATAAACATTATTGTGTTTACTATATTTTACATATTTTCAATCTTCGTTCTGAAAACTTACATAGAAATCAGACACAAGGTTTTTACTCTAAGATCATGCTAAACTTGTTTGCTTAAGAAATCAAAGTTAAAACCAATGGCTGTCATTTATCATGGACTGGCTTTGATTATAAATGTACTGCCTTTAAAAAATGATTTCTGAAATGAAACTATTTTTGCGGATTTAAATCGCGTATATTTGTTTTTTCAAACAAACCAACGTTTCGGGCCCTTTACAAGTCCCATGGGCACGGTTGACAGATGATTTTTGAATTTTCAAATCGGAGGTGCTTAGCAGCAGCAGAGCTCCTTGTGAAGGAGTTCGTCCAGGGAAATACATATTTCTGTCGGCAAGCAGTAATGTAAGCATTACTGCGTTTCGATTTTCAATGGTGCTGGTGAAATTACAGGCACGTGGGAGTTTTCAACTTTTGTATCAGTGTGACAGACGCATTGTGATGATTTTTATTATTTATGTTTTCTTTTTTTATCCTGCAATATTATTTAATATTAGTATTGTTTTGTATCCTGTAATATAAATTAATAATTACACAATAATATAATTGATATTTAAATAATCAAATTGCCACGGAAATTAGGTAGTGAACACTAGCCCGAGAATGACCGATTGGCGGTGCCCCTCAAATCTTTGCGATTTAAAGCTTCAAGCGGAATTGAAACTGTTATAAACAGGTGTGTTACTTACCATTAGGCGCACGACTGTTCGTCCCATCACTTGCTATCATAAAAAAAGAGGTGGAGTTCCTCGGCAAATACAGTCGGCCGAGGTTAGGGATTCAAGTTAAAGAACCACCGAATGACAAAAGTAAAAGAGGCCAATCTAAAAAAGATACCAAAAAATAATATGGCTAATAATTACACTATCTGCTGTTAAACAAAATTCACTCTGGGACAATATCCAGTACACTCAAACTAGAATCGATTTACGAAAGTTCGTTTCCCAAATTGGTCTTACAAGGGCCAAACCCAGTACCTCATCATCTGTCACTCTCAGTGATAACTAAACTACCAAGGTCGTCAATTAGGAAAGATTTACGCGGTTTTTCAACCTCATGCTTATACTGTGTACAATCAGTGGGACGTTACTTCAATGCTTTTATTACTTGTGGTTATTTTTTATCACACTTTTGATTTACAACTATTCAAATATTTTTTTGTACTTTTCATATACAAACCGTTATTAAAACTATACATGCAGGCCTATTTGAGACTTTTCGAGAACTAAAAATATTTGTTTTAAAGAAATGCCAGCCCTGTCTCGATGCTTATAAAAACACTGTGGCTAAGTTAATTTTTTCACTTGTTTTGTTATTATTTTTTTTTTTCACAAAATTCGATTTTTCTAATTTTCGAAATTTGTTTTTTATGTCTTTTTTCACAAAATTCGGAGAGTACAATATTAGTAACTAAATACTGAATATTACTGTTTACATAAATATTAGAAAATAACCAAAAAATAAAGTTGGTGTAGTGTTTATTGGTATCTATCTGTTCCTGCGTGTATTTTACAAATGTAAAAAAGGAACTTTTTACTCAACCGCACTTTGATATAAACCATTAAATTAACTTAGACGGCAGTGCTAAACCAATCAC